GGCCAACGCACAGGAGCTCTTGCAGGTCAGAAAGGGCGGCGGGGCCGGGGCCGGTCCCAGTGCGGGTCGCGGGTGACGGCCAGGCCGCCTCGCTCCCCTTGCAGCAGGGGCGGTGGCTGCGGCCGAAGCCCTCGGGCCGCAGTCCCGCTCACGGGCTCTTCTCCGCAGCGGATGACGGACAAGTGCTTTCGGAAGTGCATCGGGAAGCCAGGCGGCGCCCTGGACAACTCCGAGCAGGTGAGGACGGGCGGGAGAAGTGGGGACCCGCGGGCCCCTAGCTCGGGGCTGCCTCTGAGGCTCTGTGTCCCGCAGAAGTGCATCGCCATGTGCATGGACCGGTACATGGACTCCTGGAACACAGTTTCGCGAGCCTACAATTCTCGTCTGCAGCGGGAGAGAGCCAATATGTGACGCCAGCCAGCCTCCAGGCCGAGAAGGGACCATGTGGGGAAGGGACGAGCGGCCAGTCCAGGTGGTTAGGGGTGAATCCTGCAGCCTTCTCAGCCCCTGCTGTGGCAGAGCAATAAAACCTCGCTGAACCTTTTGCATCCATTGGCTTTTATTAGCACCAGCTCCAGGAGAGAGTGATTTTTTATTTTTTTTTCCCATGAGCTGCTTGGTTTACTTCTTGCACTTCCCAAGTGTCCAGACTGGCCCAAGGCATTATATCAATGGATAAATCCCTGCTGTAAAGGTTGCAACAGGCAGGGAGCCTTCTGTGGAAAACAAGGGTTAAGCCAAGCCAGCAACACAGTACCCTTGCTCAGGATTCCAGCATGGACCCATCCATAAGGTAGTCCCTTTTCATTAGTGGAAAGCTGCTAGAATATTATCCACAAGCCACCTTGGCTCTTTCATCCTGTTTATCTGTATAGCATTATCTGGGGCTATCTTTGGGCTCATAGGCTTTGACTTGTAGTGTTGGGGAGAAGGACAGTTTCACAAATAGTTTTATGAGCACAGCTAGGGATGAACAGGGTTGGGAAGTGCTTACATTCTTTATAGAATAGTGTGTTGTGTGGCTGTGATACTCTCTAGTTTCTGCTTTGGCTCTGGCACAGATGTTCCAACTTGGAGCTTACATCCTAAGCATAATTTTTTTGTTGGAGGAGCATGTCTGCAATAGGGGATGTGGGTCTGCTTTGGGGCACAGCTCTGTTGTTTTCTGCTTACACACTGCTCCTGAAATGGTGGGTTCATGCTGCATGGTCAGCAGTGGGTACAACAGCTGGAAGAGGAGAGTGTTGGAGATTAACAGTGCCCATCTAGTGAGTTTTTTAAAATCCTTTCTTTTGAAGCTCTTCTGTATTTTATGAAAAATTTCATAGTTTGCTGGACACAGGGACAGACGGGAAGAATGACATGTTCATACCTGCTAGGACATTGATAGAACCTAAAGTGTTCTCACATAACATAAACCACAAGGAGTTATTTGGGTATTTGGTCTTACTGAAACTGGAGTTTCCAGTCTGTCAGAATGACTACTTGAAAATAAAGTGCTTTCAGACATGTTTGCTTACGGGGGCTTTTTACTTTTCTTTATGGCTGTGTAAATTTTTTGGCACTGGCTGTGCAGCAGTCCCATTTCATCTTACAGGTGTTCCAGCCATGAATATGAACCCATCTGAAACTGAGCCATGCCTGGAAGCCAGGTCTTCCACCTAGCTGGTGCTCTGTCTGGGAAAGTTTTGGATCTTGCTGCCAACTGGGTTGGGATGGAAGAAACCTCTTGCAATGCCCAGATGCAGAGCTTAATGCACCAAAAATGAGGAAGAGGTTAGGGGTATGAAGAGGTATGATATATATAGTTCAGTTTTGGTGGCTGAATCAATGGGGATGTGTCTAGGTCTGCTCTGCCAAAGTCTCAGCACATGATCTTTGCTGCAGTTCTTTGCTTGTGAACAGCTGTCTATGTGTCTTATGCTGACTGGTGGGACCTGACAAGAATACTTTACACCGCTATCTCAGCACTTTAAATTTTTCCCACCTAGTTTACCCAGACAGTGGTTTGTGTGGTCATGCCTTAATCTTTTCTAGTTTAATCACCTGTTAACTAATGCAAAAGGAACTGCAGAGGGGTGTGTGAGAAGCCCCTCCTAGTACTCTAGTATGGGTGAGGGCCTGTGCAGTCTGAACTCCCAAGTGCTCTAGTCCTGCATTCTCTTGGGATCAAATGGTGAGCCAGGAAGTCATCACTGAACTCTCTAGTACCATGCACTAATTGGAAACAGCATCATACCTTTCTCAAAAGCCACTGCACAGCGCAACAGCTCCATCAAGTTACTGTGGTCTGAAACTTCTGCAAGGGCATAACTTTGGGCTGGGGCAAAGGTCATGAGTCTGTTGGCTTGGCTTTGAATGACAGTTCATAGGCAGAGGTCAGCCAAACTCCATGAATCTTTGGCAGATGTTTCTGACACCCATCCAACTACAAAGGTCATGTTTTAATGCACAGTATGTTTGGCCAGATGAGACAGGCTTCATTTATTTATAGAAAATATCTAGAATTTTGTACCTTTCTATGCAAAGTACTTATCAAATGCCTTGGTGTAACAACCAGCAGGTCACACAACACTGCCATTTGCTTAATACCTGCAAGGCCATCTTCACCCCTTTGCAACATCAGGACAGTACAGTACATGTACAGTAGCTGAGGGGTTAGTGCATCCTCTGGCAGTTATTCCTCTCATTCATCACCTTCCCTGAGTGGTGAAATGTAGTTTCAGAGCTTCAGGTTCTGTACAATCCAGCCCTGGACAGCTGTGACTTTGGTGTAGACACCAGGAAAGTATGGCCTGGCACAGCCATAGCCCCAGCTTGTGATTCCTGCTAGAAACCACTTCCCTGAAGGTTCTTTACATGCCAGGGGCCCACCTGCATCACCCTGCAGAGAGAGGAAAAGGATCCAGTATCAAGCCACAGGAAGTGCAGCTCCCCCTGCTGTGAAATGTCCATCTCTCTGGGCATGGGCATTTGCTGTCCTGTTCCCCACTTCCCCGGGAGCCCCATTCCAAGCTGGATGACTGCTCAGTGATGTACCTGCATGAACAATCTGGGGCTGGGGTTCTAGAACATAGAAGAGTGTGTTTGAAGGTACAGTAGCAACATGGAACAGGCTTCATGTGGTCTCTTGCTTAGCACTACCTCTCTGTGTATTTCTCTGACCTGTCAGGTTGGTGGGGCAAGCAGCATGAGGTGTATGCAGGATGAACATGGATAAAAGCAGCAGCCAGTTAATGGATGGACAGACAGCTGAGCTAGGGGAAGCAGGGCAGGGCCCTCCTGAGAGAATATAGTCTAGGGACTTGGCAGGAGCTTGCTCTGTTCTAGCCACAGCGTTTTGCTGCTATTGCACTCACTGAACAGCTGTCGACGGTGCCCTGTGGGAAACCAGCACACAGCATCCTGCTGCTGATCTGGACAGGGTAAAACTTTTTGCAAGCCTGGTCTCCAATCATGTTCACTGCCGCTTTTTGCAGATGCTTTGACATGAGACCTGAGGAGATAAGTATTGCTGTTAGCTGGGTAAAGAGCACATAAGAAACAGCAGCATGTGAAGAAATGGGGTCTCTGCAGCTTTACTTGCTTGCCAGAGGGAGGGACCTGCTCTGGGAAAGTGAGTCACGCCTGGTTCAGCAGAGCAAACACAGGAAGGTCACTTGGGTGTGTAGTTTGTCAGGCAGCTTGGCTGACAAGATACAAATGGTATTGGGGTGGTTCTTGTACTGCAGGAGCACAGCTGGAGCAGCTGCTATAGGGGTGGAGAGCACAGTGGCTGGCATGTAGAAAGCTTGGGAAGGCTCCAAGAGGGCAAAGATGTGATAAAGAGGAGGAGTAGTGCACATGGTAGCTGGGGAGGAGATGATGGTGACACCAGGCCTTGCCCAGCTTGGTATTCTCTGCAGAGTGCACTCTGAGGAGTGCACCTCAAGCACTCCCATCCCATCTGACTGGGATGGGAGTGCTTGAGGTGGTGGTATGGGAGCTGTAGATGTGTTGAGGTGTAAGTAGCAGTGAACTTGGACATTATGGATGTGATAGGGCCCTCTCAGCCAGTACCTCCTTCCTTTGTGGAGCCCCAGCCTGTGATGAAGCATCTGGCCCCTTCATGGAAGATGTGAGAATTGTCTGGGAGACATATTGGTCTGATGGTGCTGCTGAACTTGACAGGTGTGCTCAGTTCCAGTAGTGCCACATCATAGTCTAGGCTGTAGACGTTGTAAAAAGGATGTTTGTAGATACGGAATATTTTCTCCATTTTGCCATTGATGCCACTCAGGAAGGGTGTTCCTAGAAAGGCCACCCACATTTTGGGGTCACTGTAACTGCAGAAAGACAGTAAACCTGGCTGTTAGGAGCATAGCCTCACAAGGAGGGCCATCCCTCCACTTGTGGGGCTGGCCACACCTTGGGAGGTCAGGACCCCTGTCTCCAGAACAGTGGGTGTACTCAGGCTGTGTTCCACCCATTCCTCTTCCCACTTACCTGCAGGGGCATTTCTCTGATAGGGAGTGTGTGCTTCCTGTGGGGCATATCATCCCAGCCAGGGTGCTGGACAGCGAGGGAGGGGAAGGGTAAATTGGCTGATGGGACTGAGGCAAGAGCCAGCTGCCTTAACTAGCTCATCTTAGACTTACATGTCAAAGCAGTGAGCTGCAGAGAGCAGCCACCGGTCAGCAATGAGAACAGCCCCACACTTGTGCTCCTTCCGCCGAAGCCACAGACTGACTTGCCAGGGCCATTCTCCTTGGGCTGCACTGCTACCACCCACAATCTTGCTGAAGGCCAGAGCAGTTGTCAGGCCACAGTCTGGAACAGAGGAAGAAGCACTGTGGGTTTAAGTAATCATAAATGAAAGGAATGACTTCCTGCCTTCCATAACCTGTGCTGTGGGAAAACCTTCATGTACACAGGGCAGTAGGATGTGGTGAATTCACTTCACCCAGCTAAGGCAAGGCTTGACAGAAGGGTATATTTTGCAGACTTGTTAATACAGATCACACCTTCCAAGGATGTGGTATTCGAGGAGCACAAGTGGATGGGCTGTCTGAGCTATCAAATGGCAAGGAATGTGGAGCCCAAAGTGAAGTCCCAGGGATGACAAGACACTTTCTGGACTGCCATGTTGTGCAGAGCTGTCTTGCCACCTTGAGCTCCCAGACTGACTGGCCAAAAGGCCTGTATGTTGGGAAATGGGTTCTAATGTCTGTAGCAGAGTAGAAGAGGCCCCACTTTCTGGCAATAAATTTGGATCTGGCTCATCTAGCTTTATCATGTTTTAGGTTCTGGCAGCACAAGTACAATCTGTGTCACA